GGATTATTGTTACTGGCTACAGCCGTGCTATTAACATTGTCCAGGTTGTCATCCTCCATATTCACTAATGGATTATTGTTACTGGCTACAGCCGTGCTATTAACATTGTCCAGGTTGTCATCCTCCATATTCACTAATGGATTATTGTTACTGGCTACAGCCGTGCTACTAACATTGTCTACATTTTCTCCAGATAAATAATCGCGAGGTGACGTAGTTAAACTCATGTTTTATTGATAAAAAGCTTAAAACTTTCTTGGTGGATTGCAAAGGTGTTCCAGGACTTCTGGTGAAGTGTACGAAGTTTAATGTTGGTTCGTGTTTCTTTCTGACGGAGTATATGAAGGTTGAACTTTGATTCGTTGTTTTAACCGTCTCTAGATTACTGAGAGGTGACAATGGAGATGACGTCACATTTTTAATGTCGGTGATACCTTTCGTGGTTGATAACACCAGGAGTTCTTGTTCTGCTCTGGAGTCTACACGGAAACAAAAAATGAAAACGAGTACTTACTTTATGTTAACTCTCAACTTACCTACCACAAGTGTCTAATTTTCTGATAGTGAGCTTGTTTCGTTTGCTCTCAAACCACTGTGAAGCGTACGGGCTGTAACGGAGTCACTTGGTTAGTCGTCCGACGACCAATGGGAGTGTTTAACGTCGCTCAACCAATAAGCATCGGTGCCCACTCCTATAACAACATCCTCAGTTTCGATCTAGGCATCCTTATTCCCTGGATATCACACGATAGTGTGTAATTAAAGTTGTGGAATCTAATCTTGCCAATGCTAATAATGTGGCACAATGGTAAGCCTGCGGATTTACAACGCTAGAAATCGCGTTTCGATACCCGTGGTGGGCACAGTACATATAGCCATTGTGTAGCTCTCTGTTTAACTACAAACAAACAAAAAAGCTAATAAAGTGGAATTTACATGTTGGTTTACAAAATATTTTACATGATAATCCAAACCTCAAAAACGTGCGAACATACAAAATATATATACAGTTTACAATAAAGACGTCTAACTGTGGCCATATATATTTTAATAAAAATGAAAATATACTTTTTTGTAACATATCTCATTCATATACATATTAGCAAAGTATATTAACTGGCAATATATCTTTTCCGCTGTTAGCATTTGTGACCATTTTATGTGGGTTATGCCATTACCAGCTAAACAAATTAAAAAGGCCTTAACACACGAGAGTACATAGAACAAAGTTCAATTAATAAGGTTATTGATATGACTGACTCTCAAACCTTACTCATTCTTTACAATAATACAACTTATGTTTGTGACTGACTCACAAATATTACTCACCCTTTACAATAATACAACTTATGTTTGTGACTGACTCACAAATATTACTCACCCTTTACAATAATACAACTTATGTTTGTGACTGACTC